TAGATAATGTCTCAGAGATGAAAAATAGTTTGGGTAAAATAACTAGTTTGGAAAGATAATGATTTGTTCTTGTAAACTATAAAGGCATTCTCAGCTATTGGACACAGTATTAAATATTATTACTCAATTCATGGCAGTTTTTTCTAAACAAGCATTCATATAAAACAGGGATCACTGTTAGGGCTGCCTGTCTGCAGTTGGGAAGGCTCTGAGGTATCCAGTAATACAGGGTAAGGGCTATGGTTGAAGATGACAAGAGATGACATTCTAGGGATGCAGGACGAAAGTCAAGCTTGGTTTTTCAGAAGCAGAGAGCTGCTCAGGAGAATTTCAGTCCTCCGAGTGGTCTTTTTCACAATTTCAGTCCATCCCCCAACTATAGGCCCAGAAAGGCAAGGGATGCCCCAGACCGTGCTGGGTTTGCTCAATCTATAATCCAGAGAACCCAAAGATGCCTTAGGCTGGGCCACTTTCAGCCTAAATGGCTAAAAAGACTCAGCTTCTTTACCTAGAATTAACCTATAGCACAGAGGGAAAATGCCTTTAAGACGGCTCAGACTGCCCTTTTGTGATTATAGCTCATTTTCACTGTACATATGTGTCAACTTCATACATTATTTTAAAAAGATAACAAAGAATCCGTGGTGAGATTTACCCTAAGCTCAGCAATGCTCCAAAGGCTGATGTCTGGATAGGTGCGTCCCCAGGCCAGCTCGGCAAGGCCTTACGTGATTAGAGACAAAATTAGACACCGGCAAGGAATGAATACTAGTAACACAGGGCACACGTCAGCGTCCTGAGAGGAAAGGCAAGGCAATTATAGAAGGACAATTGGCCACAAATACCTGGTTTGCTCCACGTCCTCCTGCCCAGCAGGCTGGTAAAAAGCTGAGTTTTGCTCACAGTTTTGTCCACAGTTGTTGGCTTGGCTCTATGGAAGATCACCTCAGGGATTATAGACTCACAGTGCAGCTATTTGTAACAGTGTCCCTATCCTTGGGGTTTTTGTGAGCAAAGCACACAGGAATCATAAAGTCAGAGACCTCCAGAGGGCTCGGAGACCATCCTTTCATCTTTAGATGAACCACCTAAACCGATCGGAAAGAACAAGACTTATCCACACCCTATTCTAGTCTAGTCCTTCTTTACGTGCTACGTAAAATGTCAGATCCACTGTATAAAAATGTAAAATACAGGAATATTTGAAGAAGGAATTGAAAGATCACTAGTCTCACTATTTGAAGTTCTTAACTTTCTGGTTTTTTTTTTTTTTTCTTGATTTTATCCTCCCAAAAAATGTATAGAGGTTAGATATGAATACAGACATCCTATACTGTTGTCTATGGCTGCCTACATCCTATACAGTATATATAAATATATACTTGCTATTCTTTTTTAAAAATCTTTTTTCCTTAAAATTTCAGAAGTAAAATAAGTGAGACGGAAGCAACACTTTTAAAGACTCTTGTCATTTAAAGATTTGTAAGGAGTGACTGCTTACTCACTTTCCACTGGTCATCTGTGAAAACCCTTGCAAAAGTGTGTCAGATTCAAAAGAGGACATGACCAGGGAAGCATGGGGCACTGATCTTGACCTTGGCTGCCAGAAAGATCTCCTTGACATCTGCCCTAAATCCCTTCTGCTGAATTAATTTCAAATGCGCTCCTCCTTGTCTCATTCTCAGTATAATTAGAAACAGCTGCTTCCTACTGTACCTCTGCCTGGCTTCTGAAGGAAGACTGTTGCCACATCTCTTCCCGCCCTTCTGGTGTCCTTTGATCCTGGCTAAAATGAGACCCAGCCGAGTTGTCCTTGCTCAAAACTCCAACATGACTCATGGGAGTTTCGCCCTGTATGTGTTCTCCAGTCTCCATTCCAGACAGAAAGCCAGATTCTCCCCAACAGAGATCTCTGATAAAGAACTCACCAGACCAGTAATGTGTACAGAGTTGACCTCCCTCACTCACAAGCAATGGGCTCCTATTTATAAACTGCAGACTCCAAGAGGCCCCACACTGGGGTGCTGATTCATGTCTAATTATTAAACTGTATTCAACCTTTACTGTAAATAAGGACAAGGAAAAAATTATATTGTCCAATTGTGAATCTCTTTGGGCTCATCACTAAGAGAAAACGTTCTTTCTATAAATGAATTTCAGATTTATCTTAGATCTTTTCAGGCATATGGAAAAAAAAGGAGAGGAGATTGATTTTAATGATATGTAAATCTAAAATGAGATAATTATAGTGAATGCCTTGAAGATATTATATAGGAACTTGCCTTTGAGTTTTAATAGGATCTGCTTTTCTAACAATAAGATAATAAGAATAGTGAGTATTTATCAGACACTTACTACATGCCAGGCATTATGCTCAGTATTTTCCTTCTGCTTATTCCTTGCAGTGACTCTGTAAAGTACGCACTGTAATTATCTCTTTTTTTTTCTACAGAGGAGAAAACTAAGGGACTGCATGTGCTTGCAGTAAGTAGTATGAATAGATCTTAAACACAGTGCTTAGTTGGAACAAAAAAGTAGAATGAGAAATACAACACAATACCATTTATAAAATTAACATATGTGCATATAAAACAGTATACACTGTATGAGAATACAGGCAGAGCAAACATCAAATGCATTAGAATGGTTATCTATAGGGAAGAGAATAGTAGTAGATAATGAGAGTCCTTGCACACAGCAATGAGGACAATACGCCAAGAACTGAGCAGTTTAATATCTCAGTCACTGAAGTCCAACTGAAAACAGCAAGGTTGTTTAGGTTAGAGAGGGGAGATAGTAACAGACTGCTCCTGGTTACGGAGCCAGAGACCTGGACTCTGACCTCTTTGTCTGCCCCACTATGTAACATGGCTCTACTTAGTGTGCGAGTCATTATTTGAAAAGAAATCTGCCACGCAGCTCAACCTTTTTAGATGGTATGGTTTAGACATATGTCTTCCAAAGTTCCCTATGTAGAGCTTAGTCCCTCCCCAGGATGGCACTAACAAGCGGTGCTGTGGACCTTGTTGCAGTGGGGCCTTGTGGGACATTCCTCAGGTCATTAGAGGTGTGCCTTTGAAGGGTCACACAAATCATTCTCTGTCTTTGTCTCTGTCACTCCTCCTTCTGAACATTTGCTCCCACCCTGATGCGCCACCTTTGTCAGATACTCAAGTCAGTGGGATTGCTGAATTGTGGACTTCACCTCCAGAACTATGAGCCAAAGTAAACTTCTCTTTACTTCATAAATAGCGAATGTCAGATATGTATCTTATGCTGTCATGGTGCCTCAATATACTTAATCAAGGTAATTTTGACTTTGGGGAAGAGTCAGAAGTTGAACAGCTGGAGATCTGCTGAATAAGGTAAATGAGGACACATTGTAACATTTTCATGAGTCTGTCTTTCCCAGCCGGCAGAAGCCATGTTCACTGAATTTTCGATAGCACTCTACAAAGACATTCATGAAAGATAACTTCTGGAACTGCTTCAGAAAGTGTTAATAAAAATGGGATAGTGTGAAGCGAGGGAAAATACTTTGAGGGGAATTCATGGCAGTTTGTTTTTACTGTAATTAATTAAAAAATTTTAAACATTAACCATATATTTGATCACACTTTGTATATTAGTGAGGAAAAAGTAGATTTTGTTAGATTTTTACATTCAAGTCCAAGAGTGAGTTTAACAGCCACCCAGTCATCCACTCATTCATTAAATTTTAAATGAATATTATATACCAGACACTGAACCAGACAGAGCAAATAGAGAAGAATGAGCCTGAACTCTGTCGTCCATGAGCTCTTATAATTGTTGACACATAGCGTCACCTTGAAAAATCTGGAAGACTAAGTAACCCAGCAGTTCTACACAGTAGGGTGTAAAGGACTTGCTCTTATTGCTTTCAGATGTTGTTCTTTGTTTCAACTTGAGAAGTTTAGAAGTTAGCTAAGTGATTCATCAGGGGGCCAAGGTCTTCACTTTGTAAACACCCTGAGCCTGTGCAAGAGGAGGGCTCAGAGATGGTGTGAAAGCAGGAGGGGGTGGCCTGCATACAACATAAGAGAAAAAAAGAGGGATTTTCCTCCCCTTTTTGGCTCTTGTGCATACAACATAAGAGAAAAAAAGAGGAATTTTCCTCCCCTTTTTGGCTCTTGTTGCCTTTATTGTATTCTACGCTCATGAACTGTTGACCTTCTGCCATGTGCCACCCTGCTTTGGAGCCAGCTGATTATGGACTGAACCCTCCACAAACTGTGAGCTAAACCTTTGCAAACCTTTCCTTTCTTAATTTTGGGTATCAGTATTTTGTCTCAGCAGTGAGAGAAAAGTAACCAAGACAACTTCTAATGATTGAACTGTTCTCTAATCCATGTTGGACATACCATTCTTTTCCTGCTGACCCTGTAAAGCTTACAGTTCAAAATAGCACGTGATTTTTTTTTAAAGCAGTATCTAGCGTTTCTTAAGACCATTTGGATTTCCATCAATAAATTTGCTATAATAACAACAAGATTCATTTTTATTGCTGGGAATTGAGTTTTCTTATTATTAATACTTCAAATGGAGTTGACAGAGCTGGCCATGGTAATAAACTCCTATAACCTAGCACTGAAGGAGGCTAAAGCAAAAGAATCATAAATTTGAGTCTCATCTGGGCAACTTAGTGAGACTGTATCTCAAAACAGAAAATAAAAAGGGCTGAGGATATAGCTCAGTGGTAAAGAGTCTCAGTACCATGGTGAGGGGAGGTGACCAAGAAAAAACAACACATTCAGTAACAACAATTTTAGTAATTTCTGCCTCATCAACATGTTAAAGTTTTTTTTATGTGACTGGGCCAGGATGTGAATATTTCAGAGATATATTAGGAAAGAGATCATTCTGTAAGAAATGAATAAAACATGTATTAGGATGGAAATTTCCAGTGTGGAACTGAGGCAGTTACAAACCCTGAGAAGTTGCAGTCTTGCTTTAGACTCCCTAGAAGTTGCTTGATTTACCTCGATAGTCTTACAAGTGTCCTCCAGTTGACTGATCATTCCCTGGACTCGATCATTGCTTCCCACAAGGACAGCGATGCCATCACTGAGCTCCGACTGAAAAAGAGAAAAGAGAGACTCAAAACCTGAAAGGTTTGCTAATAACCAATGACTATGGATTAATCATAGCATTGTCTTCATGGAGTTCATTATTTAAGGTTTGTGCAATCCCTAAGCAATAACAAAGAGGCTGTGAAACTTCTGTTATTGCAGACAAACTTTTACTAACGATTACATTCATGTGGGAAGAGGTTTTCTAGTTTTCATCAGATTCTTACTGGAGGTTGACTCTGTTAAAAACATGGAGGGAGCTAAATTATGGGCCACTGAGAATAGTATGTTCAAACTAAGGAATTCTACACATAGTTTATAAATGGAATAGAGTTTCATATATGACTTTAGGTACTCAAAATTAATTATTTTCCTATCGTAGCTCAGTATCGTTATATTTGGGTAATATCTAAAATAAATACTAATTTATTTGGCATATATTTATCACAGGCCTACTGTAATAAAAGTGTATACATACATGCAAACACTCATTAAACTAAATCACTACAAACATGCAACTTTGAAATTCTTGTGTTCTTTCCACCCAAGATTTTCTTTCCTTTATATTTGACCTCTTTCTAATGCTAACTACTGAACCACAAAGAACAATGAATGGAAACTTAGGAAATCTACATGTGTGGTTCAGTTCTGTCCTTAACTTCACTCTAATATCAGGCAAAATGTGTAATAAATTTGGACCCTAATTCTGTCATATTTAAAGGAACAAACAACTGGATCAAACAGTTGCTATAAAACATCGGAAAGCTTTGGATTCTTATCTTCAAATGGACTCTAATATGGAATCCTGTTAGGTAAAAACAAAGCTACTTTGGCCCAAATTTAGGATGTCCTTCCGTCCATTCCATGAGTTTTCCAGGGCCTGGAGGGAAGTACATGCAGTGATACCTCAGTAGCTGAACAGCTTCAAGCTCAAACTTTTTACTACTTGACCAGCAAAGTTTGAAAAACCTGTTCAGTGTTTGTAACTTTGCTAGCTAGTTGAACTGAACATCTGACTTGAAAAATCCAGCTTAAATTGCATCTTGTATGAACACAAAAGGGTGATGTTTTGGTTTAAGCACTGCTCTTGCCTAACCAAGTTTTAGAGAGAAAAGGTGGGGAAAAAAAGACCAGAAGAAAAGATCCCAGGAAGCATACTTCCTGCAGTCATGGAAGGATGCTTTCTTTCCCAAGAATAACGTCTCCTACTTCTCCAACTTCTCTCCAGCTTCTAGTAGACCAGAAAGCCTCCAACTCAAAGTAAAGTAATTGTACAAAAAATTTTTAAAAATTGTAGTTATTATGTTGTGTTTTGATATTTAATGTACTGTGTTTAGATGTTTTCCACAATCTAGAGATATTAACTTTGTGTTAAGGTGCAGGAAAAATGAACTTATAATTTTTGGATCTCAGAACCAATTACTTGGTTTTCCATTATTTCTTATGTGAAAATGTTCAGTTCTCAAACTTTTCAGTGTTAGACATGAATTTAGAACTAACTGAGTTTGAACTGAGGGTATCACTGTTGTGTGAAACAGGTGCTGTCCAATTCTAATAGCTAGGATTGGGCGGGGGGAGGTGGAGGTAGTGTGAAAAGAGAAGGAAGTAAATTACAAAAGTAAATTAAAAACTAAATGTTATCAATATCTTGCAAAATCTATCTTCTTTAGCAACTAATGGGTATTGCCCAAGAGTTTGGGTTCCAGAATCCTTTTAAAATTCTGATCTTAAGGTAAAAACCTCGAAAAATGTGAAATTGATTACTGACAGGAAAACCAACTGCTCAAATTCATGTCAGAAGTGGTTGCAACTATTGGCTCATCTATCCCTCCTTTATCTTACCAAACAGGTAAGTTCTGACCTGCTGCTGCATGCAACCAGGTTGGCAGGTTGATAGTGACTTGATTGTATTTGGTCAGGAGGGGACTGTAAGGTCCTGAGGTGAAGTGTTAACATGCATCATACTCAAAGAGTGTCTTTTACTAGCTAGTCCAGACTACCTGAGGTAGCATGAGGAAAAGTTTTAGAGCTGTTCTGTAACTGAATGTCATTATAACTCTTGTCCACAAAGAGTAGGAGATAAAAGAGCAAAAAGGAACCTTCGTAAAAGCATTCTGTGGCTAGTGAAAAATAAAAACCACCCTTTCATCTGCAATCTGAACTTCAAATAATCTTGGGCAGTTTGAGTTTGGGCCCTGCTGTGTAATATTGCTTATCTTCAGCTGCCTCCAAAAAACACATGTCCTTGTGTGTCTCTTTCTGAATTGTGGTGCACTCTCGAGCCTTCTCTGACCCCTTACAGGAAATCTAACAAGGAGGCACTTGGGTACCAACTGCAGGATATTCCTTTTCGGGATTTTCTACACGCATCCACCAAGGTCCCATGGCCCTTGTGTGGGTTGGGCTCCTTCCTCCTTCCACAGCAGGGAGCTGACCACACCAGGACTTGGAAGGGGCTGAAGTGGAAGGATTAGAGTGGCAACATTACCTTCTGCCTTTGGAACACATGAGTGAGGGGAGCCACCTGGCAGTCCTTGTGAGCACCAAACACCTTGCACAGGGAGCAGGTGGGCACTTCGCAGTTCAGGCAGTAGATGTTGATGCGCTCCTCTTCGTGCTCCTCACACATGGGCTGATCAGATTTCTTTTCTGGCCTGGGAGGAGATTAAGCAGATAAAGGCATGCTAACTTCTACTGGGGCAGAGCTTGCAAATCCCTGTTCATCTTGAACACCCAGCAACACTATTCAAATAGACTCTCAGAGTACCTTTCATCTGCCTAAAACTTTCCCAGCTCATCTTCTCTACAAGTTTAATGGTGGGTCATGGCAGAGCTCTAATTAGTTGCTTAAGGTGAGGCTTGGAATACAGGGGTACTTATTTATCAAGTTTTGTAGTATAATTCCATCATGGTCATTTCAATTCAAGATTTTAAAAATTGGTTAGTCACATGCTTGAAAGTTGAATGTTGGGCTCTGGTAAACTGTCAGGAGCCTGCTCCAGTTCTGTGTTCATAAGCTTATAAATCACTCGTGTGATGCTTTCTCATGATGGGTAAAGAAAGGAAAGTTGCTAATAAATTAAGCCTCAATTTTACACCAGTCAAGGAAGTTCATTCTACTCCTCCAGTCTCTAGCCCCAGCAAACACTTCCCCTACAAGATTATGGTTAGGGAGACCAGAAAATTTGTCTGGTATTAGTCTGTGTGCCAGTCACATGTAGGAATGAGATGTTGGTGTAGCCTTGGAATCTTTATATGTCCTAACTAAAAAGTATTGGAAAAATTCAAATTCAAATTCAAAAACTTTCCTCATATTATCAAACAAAATTATTTAGAAGCATCTCAGATGAGACTATATTTTTAAAATTGTTATTGAGATACATTTCTTAAAAACCTTAGGTTTTAGGGAAATAAAATTCATTTAGAGCTCATGATCAGCACTGTCAAAGTAAAAACAGAGGAGAATAGCAAACACTGTGACTTGCGCATAGTAAGTATAAGTATTCATATGTACAAACTTGTTTCTGGTGTACATTTACAAATATAAGCATAGACATGTGTATGTTTCAGGTATATATTTGTATACATTGCATACATAGATATGAAACAAAAGCATATTTTATATGCATCCATTTTCATAGGTAAGTGGTCATTGAATTACCATGCAAAACATACTACCTTCTCTGAGTCATGAATAAAAATATTTGAACACTGTTAATACTGATGTGTAATATCACATAGCTGCAGAGCCAGAACTCAGAGAAAGCAAAGAACACACTAATATACCTCTGTAAGTCCCTAGAAAAAGGCAAGTGCTTAAGATTGAGAGAACTGAATGTCAGGGAAAGGACTGGGTCTGATGAGATGGTGTGGATGTCCAGCTTCAAGATTTTGTAATCTGGTGTCTGCCAAAGGCATTTCTGTCTGGCTTATAGCAATATACTTTCATAAAATCTATAACCTTCTGACTTGATCATATGCTTGGAACTCAAAAAGGAAAGTAACACAGTAACTGGGAAGATCACTTCCCTTACAGAGCTGTTTCCTCCTTTAGAAAGTGAGCTCCTATCAAGGAGGGGCTGTGGTCTGTATTAATTTTTGCTGGAGCCCCAGTGCCTAGAAAAATGCCTCACAAAAAGGGGATGGATCCTTAAGTATTCATTGAATGAATGAGTGAGAATTGGATTTGCCTAATGTGCAATATTCCAAATGCTCTAATATAACATGGCCTACCTGGAGAAAGCATGGGAAATATAAGAAAATCTAGAATCACATTGAACTTATGATTGGCAAGGAAGATATCAGACAGCATACTGAATACTCCATAAATAAATGACAAAACCCCCAGGGTTATCTAGAGACTAGGACTGGCAAATTGATTTCTACTGGTTAAAGGTATCTCCACCTCTAAAATCTCTCTCATGTAGCTCCATCTTATATAAATGTGGACTAAGCCAGTCTAGAGTATATCTACTGGAAAATGGCACATGCAACACTATTTTGGCTCATCTTTCCTAGGCGTTTCCTGAGGGCAACCTGTGTCCTGTGCTATGATGTTAGCAGCTGTGACCAGAGATTTTCATGCAGCGTACAATATATGCAGAAATTGAACAAGCAGAAACAGCTATAATACTACATGCTTATTTCTGTTTGTGATTCAATTTATTCTTTTTTATGATGCAATATACACTGAAAACTGCTTCCCATATTTCTTATTAGGTGTTTCTTTTTCAAGTGGTAACATAGACTCAAAGGCACCACCTACTTGTAAGTGAATGCATAGTAAAAATAAATCATTTTGGGGAAGTGACACTTGAATAGAGTGAGAACCAGGCCTCTCATTACAGGCCTTGTAGTACTTTTGGAATTTTTAAGATCTTTATGTAGCTTACTTTTCTTTAAGCCTAAACACCTTTTATAGGGTAATAATAATAAAAAAGACCCCATCACAGGATTGTTAAAGAATTGTACATGATTCACCTGGAAAACTCCCTGAGTGATGTTGGACACACAGCACATAATTTTGTTTATTATATTTTAAATTATTGTTGTTTATTCTTCATATTAACCAAATTAGTGGTTTCTCTTGCCAACTCCCTATCATGCAGAATTCAAGAAATCCAGGATTTGTGGAGACCTATCGTCTCTAGCAGTTTTGTAAGAGATCAGAGTTGACCAGTATCTCATAGCCTATTATTATTATTATTATCATTATTAGAGACATGGTCTCACTATGCAGTTCAGGTTGGTCTGGAACTTGTTTTGTAGCCCTGGTTGGCCTCGAACCCATAGTAATCCACCCTGCCTCAGCCTCCCGAGTGCTGAGATTACAGGTGTGTGCCAACACACCTGGATCAGAGGCTATTATTCACACCTCCTCCCTTTTCATTGTCATCCCTAATGACTAGAGCTGGACTAGTCTCTCTCTGTATGAACAAAGTATACAACCAAAGTTATTCCAGGGTTGTCTAATATGCCTGAGGCTCAAGGTTCTGGTCAGTTAAGACTGCCAACCTTCTGAGTACAGCTGGCTTTACATCCAGACATATGGCCAAACCCTCTGGGAAACTTATAGTTTTGCCATCAAGTAAAAATGTACCAAAGGCAAATCTCAAATTCAAGAAACAGCATAAAAAGAATTTGGTAATCACAAAACATCCTAATCTACTCAGCTATGAGCTTTATTATTGAAAATTTGGTTCATTGCTTCTACATAATTTGCTTCCCAATCCCTAGATACTACTTTCAGTAGGTACAGCAAAAAGGACTTAAAAATTAAGATAAAGATTTGTCTTATATAATTTTATTAATGCTACAAGTTTTTTGGTTTTGGGAATCAAACTCATGACCTCACTCTTGCCCGGCAGGTACTGTGCCACTGAGCTGTATATCCCTGGCCCCTTATGATACAAGTTTTAACAACAGCTTTCCTCTGGATTTCATAACAACTATTGTTATTTTTTCCATGTTGCAAGTACTCACTGTGACAAATAGTGAGACAAAATGCTTGCAATAAATAGAACATGGAAGAATATTTGTGGTGGAGTCTGAATAGCTAGCCCTACCGAGCAGCTGTGCAGTGTAAGGTACATTCCTGGGGCACATGAAGTAATTATCATAGAAACTCCTTTTAATAACTGTTTGTTTATTTATTGGCTGGTAAATTTTTGAAGAGACTGTGTGTGTACAGTATTTCCATTTCCAAAGTAATGAATTACAATGAGATAAGATCTGTGAATACAATGAAAGCAAGTCTATGAAATACAATGAGAGCAGAACTGTGGTAGTATTTTCCTTTTTGTTAAGAGATTTTGGAAGCAAGGAAAACAAGTGCCTGTAATATATCATCAGCAATTCTTCCCCCACTCCATCTATATCCTGGTACTATCTAATTTAGCTTTGAATCTTAAACAGAAACTAATAGCCATAATAATTACAATAATTGCACGTTAGATTAAGAACAGCTTTCCTTGTAAAAGCACAAGACTATCAAAGCTCTGCAGATGTTCCATAAATACACATGCCCTAGTGAGGATGATGATGGGACCATTTCTCAATGGTCTCCATATTGCTCCCAACTTTGTGGACCAGACTGAGCTGTGCACAATTATAAAGGGCTCTTCACATCATGTCTTGTAGGAATATATTCCTGATATTCCTGTAGTGTCATCTCTAGAAAAAGAAGTGTATAGTTCAATGAATAAGAAAGCTTTTATATTTTTGGATGAATGTATATATTGCATATCAATCGATCAGCAATGAAAACTATGTGTATTCAATAAATACAATCTAGGGAACAAGGAAACATAATCTGCACTCCATCTTTTTTTAAATCTCCCAAATCTCTTAAACTATAAATGCCTAGAGGCAAGCTTATATCTTGCTTTGAATTTACCATAGAGTTAATATAATGACAAACTATATCAGAATATTTTGGTATTTTACAATCATCTACAGAATTCTAAATAAAACTGTCTGTGTTAAGCACTGGGCTATTTTGGAAGATTCCATTTCTGTTAACTTTTTATAAAGTTTTGTACTAAAATTTCTTTCTGCTGTGTAGGATCTAGAATTACAAAGGAATTGTTAAGTAAAAACATTTCTAAAATGTATGTAATACATGGCTTTAGGGGAGAGCATTAACATGTGGGATGGATTAGCATTAATGAATCATAATTCTTCACTCTTAAATGATACCAAAACACGAGGACTAGCTGCCACTTTTCCTCCCATGAAAAATTCTCAGTCCCATTGAGGACTGACTTGGAAAAAAAGTTTTTCATAAAGTAATTATTTTTTGATTGATAAACAAGCAATGCAGAAACCCTTTCAAAGCTACAAACACAAGAATCAGTGTAAAAAATTTTGGCACATGGAAGAATGTTACCTGATGGATTCCTGCTTGTAGATGTCGATGATGTTTTCCACCAGCAGGTTCCTCTGAAGTCCATATACACCATGTCTGTCCAAAACCACTTCATGTCTACAGGAAGGGCAGCGGAATCGGCCCCCTGATGCCACAGTGGTGCCTCCTCTTGTGGGCAAGTATGGGTTAGAGGCCTGCTCTTGCCAAGCAAAAAAGAAGAATTGAGGAAAGCTACAGGGAGCTTTTCTGGGACTTACTTTCATTCTGCATGATTATGAACAACATGAATTACTTTAAGCCTGTCATGAGATAATCTCTTCAGGCCTAACGGCAAGTGGTCCTGAAACAGAGGGCCAGGCCAGCCCTCATCCACAGTCATCAAAAGTGTACTACTCTCAGCATGAAGTGCCTTTCCTTCAGTGTTTTTTTTTAACTTCCACCCAGACATTCGATTATTCATGTCTTGGCAGTACTTGATTTTCAATTTCGAAATAAATTCAATGATTTGGTTTCATTAAAAACAAACATGATTCTTGGAATTAAAATACCACTGGATTTTGGAGTAAGGAGGAGCATGATAGCAAATCACAAAGCAAATCATTCAAATAAGCTGAAAATAAATGCAGCCTTACAAAGTTTTCTATAGGAATTGACTTCAGTATTAACCACTTGATTCAGATAGGAGGGAATCTTTTCCTTTCCCCAAACTCCAAATAAACCTACCTGGAAAATGTCACTGGCACATTTCCTACACAGGTTATGCTGACAGGGGAGAATTACCACTGGTTTCGTGAACATCTCTAGGCAGATAGGACAGATAAGTTGTTTCTCCAAGTTATCCATGGTTTGCTGCTCTTTGGAAAAAGACTTGTAATTCAGAGATGCACTCATCTCCTGGCCGTCCCTGAGTGCGCTGCCAGGGGGAGGATGTTCCAAATGGCTTCTGAAAATGTTTCCTGGAAATAATTCCAAGGATTGTATGATCAAGTGTCCTTTCTGCTTCTCTTGGTGGAAGACATTGTTTCAGGCTCCGGTTCAGAGTGGGTGCTGGAGCTGTTTTTAGCAGCCCAAGGTCACGTGACAGTTGGCTGACTTGTCCATATAAGCCAGTGACAGGAGGATGGATTCTGACAGGTGACAGAGAGCAGGAGTCAACATTCTTATCCCTGGGAGTGAAGAGAGTGGGTGGGAAAGAGGATTACAAACCCTATTTAGGTGGGGGGTAATAGGGGGAAGGAGGTTGAGGCTGACAGTTGTCAGCCACAAATGCGAGTGCATGCCTGGTCTCTGAGCCAGGCCCTCCATGAGCACTCAGTAAGAACTTGGTGACAAGCTTGTCCAGCAAGGGACAGTATGCAGCTTTAGTCTGACTGTATAATGGATTTCATTTCTGTCTTAAGCATTTAGGAAGCAAGACATCAAAGGTAGCATGACAATACTGCTTAAGTGAAAACAAAACATATTTTAGACACAAGGGCAGTTATTTAGAAAGGTCTGTTTAGTACAAAATATTTCATCTTTTCCAGGGCTGTGATCTGGGAAAAATTCCAATCTAAGAGCTGAAATCAAATTTTTTCACCATAAATAAGTCTATCAAATAGTTAGATACAATTTTTAAAAAATGAATAATAAAACTCTAGTATACATTTTTCTTCCACATTATCTCCTTCCTGTCTTTTGTCCTCTACTGCTGATCCATATACACACCCCCAAAACACAAAGTATATTTGATAGTCTTTAACTTTTAATTTAGTTTATAACTATATTTTGTACTGGAGTAGTAGCTGCCATGTGTCTAGAAGACCCCCCACTTCATTTTTGCCATGCATCTGGGCACAGATACCAGTTCCACTAACAGCTAAAATGCAAACAGAGTCCTTCTAGTCCTACGGGATCTGCTTCTGAAATACCTGTGTACTTGTCTCCTCTTCCAAGGTGTTGTTTAAAACGAATAATTCCCTGTTGAGTCTTCATCTTCTTCTCTTTCTCCTCCTTCTTCTTCCTGCCTCCTTCCCCCTCTCTCCTCCCTATTCCTTCCTCCTTCTTGTTCCTTCTCCTCCTCCTGCTTTTTCTTTTTGGTATTTTCTTGAGACAAGGACTTGCTATGTAGGTCAAGCTGACTTTAAACTCACTTTATGGCCCAGGCTGGCCTCAAACTCATGCTGATCCTCCTGTCTCAGCCTTCTGAGTGCTGGGATTATAAAAGCATGTACCACCATGTCTGGAAAGTTCTGATATTCTTGGTGTGGTGCTAAATTACAAACACAGATTCTGATATTGGCCAGTATTTTGTGAAACAACTATTTAACCAATGCATATCACATTAAAATTTTTAAATGAGATAAAAAATAAATCTCTGTATGTTTTTATGTGATGAATTTGTATCCTATTTTGCCTTGATTTTAAGAACTTTAAAAACACATTTTGTTAACAAGCCCCAGTGTGCATTTAATTATCTGTAAAGGATAGGTCAGTGTGACTGATTATGTGTGGTCTTAATGCCATGTGCACTGACAGGTTATTGACAATCTAATAAGCTTTATTACCTTATAATAAGTTCTATGTATTCATAAGCATTTCAGGAGTCTTTGGAGGACTCTCTGAATACTTTCAATATTTATTTAGCAATCACATTAGGGAAAGGAATTAGTGATTGTTTTCCTTTTCTTCTACTGAATTATATCTAGTAGCCGGCTTTGGCAGTTAATTGTGTTTAACATTACTTTGTCAATGAGGTATGAGCATAATAGGTGAGACATTTTATAGGGAAGACAAAGTTTCTACTGCAAAAGATTTTGTAAACTAAGGAAAACCACAACCACTTGTATTCTCTATAGAAGTTCAAAATCAATAGCCTCATGATAACTGTCTGCAGTCTAAGAAGTTGGAAACCTCAGGAAAAGATGGATCAAAGATTCAGCTCCAATCTGAGGCTGAAGGCCTAAAACCTATCTGGAGAATTGCTAGTACAAGTCCACATCCAAATGCTGAAAAGCCTGGAGTCTGATAGTCAAGGTGATGGCAAGCAGCAAAAAATGCACCTGTATAAGAAGAGTCTCATGTACATGCCAATATGCATACCCCCTTCTGCTTTTTGTTACATCTGGGTCCCCAGTCTACTGGATGGTGCCATCCACATTCAGGCCAGCTCTTCCCCTCTTCGTTTGCTTACCCACAAACTGGTGGTCTCTGGAGACATCTTCACATACATACCCAGAAGTGGGCTTTACCATTTTTCTCAATTTAGTCAGGTTGACAACCAATATTAATTATCAAAGCACAAACTAATAAGATAGTGATGAGTTGCTTAATGTCAGGGATATATTCTGAGGAATGTGTTGTCCGGCAATTTATCTGTGTTAGCATCAGTGTATGCTCACACAAACTTGGTTGGTTGCAGCCTGCTGTAAGTGCAGACTCTATGACACAGCATGTGTTTCTAAGCTACAAACATGTACAGTATGTGAACTGTATATAAAGGAGGAATATTGTAAGCAACTGTAAAACTCTGGTATTTGAATGTATCTAAACAGGCCATGTGTCCGATGCTGTCACTGCGGGAATTGGGAAGCCCAGACCCAGCCTCAGTCTATGAGTCAGCCCTGCAGATTGCAGAGAGAAGAAAGCCTCACCAGGAAGCGATCCTTGCCTAGAAACCATATCACTTTCATTGTTTTGCTGGGTTGGGTTTTATTCTCTTTCATTTTGTTTGATTATGTTAAATCTGATGGTATGAGCAGTTATTTAAAAGATAGCAAGGTAGCAGTTTTGGATTTATTCCTGTCTTGTTTTGAAGTCCTTTATTGCACTCACTGTTTTGTTTTTATTATTTCTATTCTACTCTGTTTGTTTGATTTTTACTCTGTCTGAAGGAATCTGCAGCTATTTTGAAGACAACAAAAAGGCATTATGGTAACTATTGTTGATTTTGTAAGGTTTTGAAGTCCTATATCACTTATACTGGTTTATTTTGATTGGTTTTATTCTGTTTTATTTTCCTTGATATTACCCTCTTTAAAATAAATAAATAAATAAATAAATAAATAAATAAATAAATAAATAATGTATCTAAACAAAAGTATGATAAAAATATGGTTTAAAAGATAAAAACACTTACATAGTGTTGGGGGGGTATTGATTTAGTTACTTTTCTTATTGCTGGGACAAAATACTTGACACCCACGTGTTAAAGGAGGAAAAGTCCATGGCATGGTGTAGCAACAGGGAGCAGACTTCTTTCTTCTTTCCCTTTTTATTCCACCTAAGCTGCAAGCTTATTGTTTGGTGCCACCCACACCCAGGGTAGGTCTTTTCTGTTCAGTAAGTTTATCATTCATACCCAGAACTACACTAAACCAATCAACTGACTAATATCACACAGCCATGCTCCAGTCATCTCTCAAAAGTTCTACCTATGAGCGAAAGAGGCTTTGGGAGGGACATCCAGTTATAAACCACAATAGATACTAACCATGAATGCAGCTTTCAGGACTGGAAGTTGGTGTGAGTCAGTGAGTGAGTAATACAAAAACCTGCACCGCTGCACAGACCTTTTAAATACTACACACTAAGGCTGCACTAAATTTGTAAAACAGTTTTTTCTTCAGTAATAAGTTGGCCTTAACTTACTGCTTCTCATTTTAAAAACTCTTCCATTTTTAACAAAATAATCATTGTTCATTAAACACATTGTATAGCTGTACAAAAATACTTTATTCTTTTCTAAAAATGTTTCTATTTTAATTTCATTTTAAAATTTTATTTGATAAAAGCTAAGACCAAACACACCCATTAAACTAGACTTCTTTACAATAACATCACCACTGTCATAAGTAATATGTTACTCATGATATTATGATGGCTAATGCATCGCTAACCAGTCTTATGGGACAACTGTTATATAATGTAGTTGGCCTGTCACTGACTGGAAAATTTACTATGTAGTGCATTGTATAATATATACAGTGATTGGACATTGTAGCAGAGTCTATTCTTTTAGAAAGAATTCCTTCCTTCCAAAAACATTCAATGTGTATTTACCATGTGTCTGCACAGTGCAAAGCTCTGGAGATTGAAAAGTAAACAAAGACATAAGTGATTGTCCTCCAGGAACTCAGTCTACTAGAGCTAAGATGTGATACAGATCTGTAGTTGAAAACAAAATGTGATAACAAGTGACTGAATTTCAAAGTGGGAGAAACAATGAAGGCTTCATAGTTGGAATAGCTTTTGAATTTGATCCACAGAGGAACTTGGACAGATGGACATTCAGCTAGGTGGGGCATGAGAGTGCTTTCCAGGGAAGGCATGGAACTAGAGGTGTGGAGACACAGGCATGCAGGGCATCTAGTGGCACACGGTGGTTTAGGCTGTAGTGCAGGATACACTACTGTTGCTTTAGCAGGCCACAAATACCTGGCTAAAGACTTTTTAAATCATGAATTAGATAGCAGGAAATCATTAAACGTTTCTCATAGAGATGCTTCCACATGTGTGGGTAAGGTTAATCTTGGAGCAGGGATGGGGAACAGATGAATGTGTAGGTGACTTGGCTAATGCCCAGATTAGAGGCTGTGGCCAAAGTCTAGGTAAGAGGTCACAAAACCCTAGCATGGTGAGATGGCACTGGGGAAGAAAATCAAGAGACGGAAGTAGGATCCCACAGAGAGGACTCAGATGTCTTCAGTGTGAGCCACCATTGATGACACAGGGAGGGCTACAGAATGACTCAGGAGGAAGATTTCTCTCTGACTTCTGTGTCTGTCTCATCTTGTGGACTTGGGAAGGTGATTTCACTTAGATTTCAGTTCGTTTTGGCAAGTAACATTCATAACTAACATCAATATTTGTATGGGAAAATGTCTTTGAAAAAGTATTATTTTTGACATTACAAGCTCCTGGTTCCATTATTTGATTCTCCTTCTTGCTCTCTGCCTTCCACTTTTTCTAGAGAAGTTCCTGCAGGCTACACAGGAAGTCAGACAGAATTTCGTAGGAAAATGTCTCAAATTGCTGAACAGCACTCATCTTCTCTGTGTTCTCTTTTTCCTCATCTCTTACT